TCTGTTTTCTCCTTCACAGATGCTGCCAGACCTGCTGAGCTTTTCCAGCAACTTTGTTTTTGTCCTCTCTGTAAAAAAGTTGCTTCTCATGTCCTTTTTAAATATTTCTCCTCTCACCTTAGAAATATTCCCCCTAGATTTGAACTCCCACACCCTGGGGAAAATACCCTTGCTATTCACCTTGCCTCTCATAATTTTTACAAGCCTCTATAAGGTCACCCCTCAAACCCTCCATTCCTGTAAATCTTTTCTGAACCCTCTTCAATTTGATAATATTTCCTACAGCAGGGCAACCAGAACTGGACACAGTGTTCCAGAAGAGTTCTCACCAACGTCCTGTACAACCTCAACATGACGTCCCCAACTCCTATACTCAAAGGTCTGAGCAATGAAGGCAAGCGTGCTAAATGCTTCCTTAACTGCCCTGTCTACCCATGATACAAATTTCAAGGAATTATGCACCTGAACCCCTGGGTCTCTCTGTTTGACAACACCACCCACGGCCCTACCATTAATTGTATAAGAAGTGCCCTTGTTTGTTTTACCAAAATGTAATACCTTGCATTTATCCAAATTTAACTCCATTTGCTAGTCCTAAGCCCATTGACCCAAGTGATCAAGATCTTTTGGTAACCTTAGATAACCTTCTTCACTGACCACTATATACCACCTATTTTGGTGTCACCCACAAACTTACTAACCATGGCTTCATGTTCTCATCCATATAAATGACAAACAAAAATGGACCCAGCAGTGATCCTTCTGGAACACCACTGGTCACAGGCCTCCAGTTCGAAAAACAACCCTCTCTGTCTCCTACTGTCAAGCCAATTTAATATCCAATTGGCAAGCTCACCCCGAATCCCATGTGATCTAACTCTAAAATTAGTCTGCCATGTGGAACCTTGTCAAAGGCTTTACTAAAGTCCATGTAAACAACGTCTATTGCTCTGCCCTCATCAATCTTTTTGGTTACTTCCTCAATATGCTCAATCAAGTTTGTGAGACACAAGAACGCTTGTACAAAACCATGCAGACTATCCCTAATCAGATTTTTAAGTTAGCGCCGTAGTATCTTCATTGTCCTCTTCAAACAGTGTGACAAGCAGACAGATGCTCAGTGCCTCAGATTCTTTCAGCAGGATAGTGAAGTCAAATTTGATTACATGCTGCAAGATGTCAACAAGAAGTGCATAAAAGGATAAAGTAGCAACACCCTTTTCTCTTTCAGGAACAGCTTTGCTAAAAATTAATCAAACAGAAAGGAAATTAATTTAATGGAATCATAAAAACAAAGATTGCAAGAAAGTTCTTGAAACACAATTAATTAAAATAAGATCACTGAATCTTCTTAAAGATGTCGATGCTGCTCGCTAACAAAAGGAGAAATCTGCATTTCCTTCACCAAAACCTAAACTTCAAATCATTGAGAAAGCCAGTTTGCAGCAAACCTATCTTGTTATGGCACACCCTACTTTAAATCCTGTGTTATGGACCAGATCAGACCCCCTCAAAATATTTTAAGAAGGTCGCCTAGACTCTTAAGTTTTTCTTATTTTAAAGGCAAATGTAAAGAGTCTGTTCCAGATACAATGTGACTGGTCAAACTACTTGACGTTAAGCAAAACACAATTTATTTACACACTACAGTTAGAATACAATCAACAAGAAAGAGGAATTTAGAATAACTTAACTACTGGAAAACTTGCTTCCAACTCTGTTGAGACCCCAACAACTTCTGATGTTACTGAAAAGACCAAAACCACAAAGTCTGGACCTGTGAGAGCTGGCTACACCCATTCAGGCTGTTAAAAAATAAACCCAAGACCTCCCAAACTGTTCACATTACCCCGGGCTTCTCGTCACGTCTGCCTTACAACCTCACTTAAAAAAAAAGGACAAAATAACCTTTAAAACCACAGCATCATCACACACTGGGGTAAGTAAATGGAGCCTCTTCAGGACAACTGCAGTTTCTCCACAGTACAAGAATGGGAATAGGTCATTCAGCATCCCAAACCTATTCTGTTGTTCAATTACACTCTGATTTGTCTGTTGCTCAACTCCACTCGTGTGTTAGGGACTACTTGAGGAGAGCTGGAGTCCTGAAGTGGGAGACACCCACAGAAGCTGATTTTTATTTTTCAAAAGCAAAATGCTATGGATGCTGGAACATTGAAATACAATCAAATATGTGGGATATACTTAGCAAGTGAGGTAGCATCCACAAAATAAACTGAGTTAGCATTTCATGTTGATGATGGTTGTGATGAAAGGTCACTGACCTGAAACATTGTGTTAGATTTTCTCGGATTCAGGCTCTGAAGGCCTTTAAAAATACCAGGCTAGTTATGGATATTAAAGTACCAGTCCAATTTCCCACAGATCCCATTTTTGCTCACAGGATAAGGGCTGGGGAGGTTTGGTTTGATTTGATTTATTACTGCCACATTTACTGAGGTACAGTGAAAAGTGTTGCCCCATGTGCTTTACAGGCAGATTGTACTATACAAGCGCATCAGGGTAATAGAACAGAGTGCAAGATACACTTACGGCTGCTGAGAAAGTGCAGAGGGAGATTAACATCAACATTAGAGAGGTCCATTCAAAAGTCTGATGACAGCAGGGAAGATGCTGTTCCTGAATCTGTTTATATGTGTAAACTTTCATATCTTCTACCTGATGAAAGAATGTGGAGGAGAGTATAACCAGGGTGGGAGGGGGTCTTTGATTATGTTGGTCATCTTCCTGAGGCAGCGGGAAGGATAGATGGAGCCAATGGATAGGAGGCTGGTTTGTGTGATGGACTGGTCTATGTTCATGACTCTCTGTAGTTTCTTTCAGTCTTGGGAAGAGCAGTTGCTGGACCTTGCTGTGATGCACCCAGATAGGATGCTTTCTATGGTGGCAAACCCAAACTCACATGGGTTATCTGAAATTTGTGCTGAGTTCAAAGAGTCCCATTTTTGCTGTTCCAAGTGTCTTAGCATACAATGAGTCACAAATTTATGGAGGAGGCATAGATGTTCTCCAGGCAGAATCCCTGTTCCTGTCCTATATTGGCCCCATCCCACAACTCTTTTTCTCGGTACATCGATGACTGTTTCGGTGCCACTTCATGCTTCCACATACACTGTGAAAAATTTGTTCATTTTGCCTTCAATTTCCATCCCCCTATAAATTTCACATTGTCCATTTCTGACAGTCTGTATGTGTGAGGCTGGAAAAGCACAGCAGGTCAGACAGCATCCAATGAGCAGGAAAGTCAATGTTTCAGACCTAAACCCTGCTGTTCCTCTGATGCTGTCTGATTTGCTGTACTTTTCCAGCCTCACACCTATAGACTCTGGCTTTCAGCATCTGCAGTCCTTATTGTTTCCAAGTCCATTTCCGACACTTCTCTTCCTTTCCTTGACCTTTCTGTCTCCATTTCAGGGAATAAACTGTTCACTGCCATCCACTACAAAGCCATGGACTCCCACGGCTACCCTCGCTACAGCTCGTCACACCCCACATCCTGCACGTATTCCATCCCATTCTCTTAGTTCCTTCACCTATGTCAGATCTGTTTGGATGATGTTGCCTTCCAAAACATGGCTTGCTTCTTATGTAAGTGTGGTTTCCCATCTACTGTGGTAAACAGTGTGATCAGGTTCCCCTTCTTCTCACTTCTCATTCCCACCAACCTCCACGTTCAAAGGATCATTCTCCACCATTTCAGGCAACTTCAGCAGAATGCCATCACCAAACCATCTTCCCCTCACTCCCCCGACTGCATTTCACAGGGATCGTTCCCTCTGGGACACTCTTGTCCATTTCACAACCACCAACACCACCCCTCCTTCCCAGGGCACCTTCCAATGTAACCGCAGAAGGCACAACACTTGTCCCTTCACCTCCTCCCTGCTCACCATCCAAGGGCCTGAACAGTCTTTCCAGGTGAAGCAGCCTTTCACCTGGGCCTCCTCCAATCTTGTGTATTGTATTTGCTGTCCCCAATGTGGCCGACTCTACACTGGGGAAACCAAACACAGACTGGGTACCCGCTTTGCAGAACATTTCCAGGCCGTGCGCAAACATGACCCTGATCTTCCTGTAGCCGGTTATTTTAACAGTGTCCTGCTCACATGCTCCATGTGTGTGTCCTCGGCATGCTGCAGTGTTCCAGTGAATCACAGCGCAAACTGGAGGAACAACATCTCATCTTCACACTCGGCACTTTATAGCCTCTGGGCTCAATATTGAGTTCAACACCTTCAGATTGTGAACCCATTCCTTCCCTTTCCTTTAGCTTTGTTTGTTACATTCTCTGTCACCCTCTCTCCCCTCCACCCAACCCCCCCCACCCCACCCCACCGCACAGCCCCCCACCCTCTGCACCTCC